GGGGAATATTAACCCGAGCTCACTGATCAGATAGATATGCCCTCTACTCAAAATGGTATTTCGAATTTTTCAGAAGCCCCTGTACCTGGAGGGCGGTCTAATTACTCATGTGACCAGAGCTCGGCTTGGAGGGAATGCTGTTCCACATTAAAGAGAGACAGTCCCCACAGTAGAACGATTGTCGGTCGATTATGTGCACATATGATTATCCCTCTAACTGCTAAATATTGGGAAACCCTTGAGGTTAACCTGGTGATGCGGTGGGAACCGATACCACGACTAGAATCGGAACTCTGAATGCACCTGCGACTTGCATAGAGATTATCCTCTATGAAGCCTTCGTTGTTGATTTTCTGCGTCATCCAGTGGAAATCAGTTTTGTGCAATGAAGTGTTCTTATATTCAAAGTAACTTCTCCTTACAAATTCTCCGCTAACCTCCAGAAGTCGATCTGTTGGTTTTGCACCCAATAGTTACAATAACATAGCACATCATTATTTTCCAAAAATAGACTAAGAACAAGTCGAACGCTCAATCCTTCCCTCACCTTCCTTCATGTCTCGCAGATGACACTCTGTTGTGGTTAAACAAAGCATGTATTCTCACGTTAGGCTATAGGCTCTGATACCTGCACAGTAAAATTGAAACTCATAGGCCAAGTTGCAGAGTTGGAGCCTTTGTTGGACCTTGAAACCTTTACATCCCCAAAGAGGTACGAGATTCCTCTTGCGATGAGTCCGATGATGAGATGATGATGTGATGGGTCCGCCGTCTTTATTATCATCAGGCGACCACAGAGAACCACAATGATCGAATATCACGGACTCGTCTACCTTGCAGTTGATCGCGAGTTTCTCTACATGGCATCAAAAGATATGGTTGAGAAGCCTCTTCATAACCTTTTGTTCCTTCCTGAATGGTTCTCATGTTATGCTTCTAAAAGTCCTCCGTTAAATATGATGACACCAGCTTCAGGCAAAACATATCGTTCGTAACACGCTGGTTCGTCGTTGAAGAACGTTTTGGTTCAATGAAACATTTGGCACTTTACTCTTTAAAATCTCTGAAGCCCATTCTGAACGAATTTTAGAAATTCTTCTTCTTGATGAATGGAGTTCCATCATTATTGTTAGGCCGGTGAAGGGCAAGGAAACTTTCTTGAAATATATTTCCTGTCACAAAGATGGCGATTTATATTTCAGTGTTCCTTAGATATTTGGGGGGCTCTACAAATAGTCAATATCAAGCCCAAGAACGTTTTGTAAGCTTTAGGACGCATTTCACGGACACGCAAACGATCGCATGCATCCGATTTGAGGTAGCGTATTTAACTTAATGTGGAACGTTCTTGTTCTGTTCTTCCCAGGAACGTTTGGCAGATTTGGAACGCAGATTTGAGACCAGTGTTCACCGCGGCATACATCTCCTCTCGAATGGTCACTACCACCGAGTATTCTTCCCCTATAAATTGAGTAAGAATAGCTGAGTATAGATGTTAATGTGCTATTCTTACTCAATTTACAAGGGAATGATACCTAACAGTACCTCGAAAACACTCTTCAACTTTCTTTGAGGGACACTTCTCCACCTCAGAGATATCGCCTAGCCGTTTTTTTATCAGATGTTGCAGTTTTCCTTTCTCTACTTGAATATTGACTTTACTTTTTCTTGTGACGGTTTTTTAGCTTTTATCATTAATCACAAAATGCGATATGTTGTAGACTAAACGTTTTTACTTAACGGTTCCTAAAGAACAGTGTTATGTCGCTACTGTAAATATTATTATAGATGTTTATAAAGTTAAAGCTAAAAATGAAGTTATCAGCGCCTCAGTCGTCTCTCAAACGAGTGATAGTGGATCGGATTGAATTGTGCCGCCCATTGTCTGGTTCTATGTTTACCAGACATATTATTTAGAGTTAAAACAGATGGCTCCCTCCTCTAAAGGTAAAGGTGTTACGGATGCCTCGGCTATTAGTTACAAACAAAAGGTAGTCCCACCAACGCCATCACAGTCCCCACAACCCAGTCATCCATACAATGCTCGCTTTAGATCTCGACGGACTTCTCTTTGATCCTGCTTCCACAGCTCAGAGCACCTATGGCAGAGCGTAAAATCTGCTTAATAACGGTGCGTTTTGTGTAAGATCATTTCAGTTCAGATCAAGCAAACTTCTCAAACGACTACTGCCGACTCAATGTCGCAACCGTTCGTTGTCGACATGATCAGTCCTCAAACGACAAGCAGATTTTTCGGCGCAATTTCAACTTATGCCCGCGTACTGGAGTGGGCAATTCGCTGAGTGTTGTCATTCTCAACAAACGGATGAATCTTTTTTTTGACAGCCCACTAAGACACACCTTCTTTTACACCTTTCCTTCATTTCTGGAATCTGCTCGGACTTGTAGAGGGGGAGTGGAAGCAGAGCGCCTTTGACGCGACTGTATGATAGCAGAATGATGCCCTTGCCCAGCTTTCACACGTCTCAATATTGTTCATCGTCGTGTTTTGAATCACAGATGTGTTCGCTGCCTTCAGAATAAATTTCATATTTTTAACTGTTCTGTACAATAGTAAAAATGGAGCAATTATGCTGCGTGCATGCTTACTTGCCTCAAAAGCTTCCGCACAGTGCTCTCATTTGCTCGTGTTAGGATGCCAACCGGAACTGTAAACCAGTTACTACCACAACAATAAAGTCGATGGATTTCCAGAGATCAACTAGCGCTAGACTTCTAAGGATATTACAAACGGCCCCTTTCTAGGCAGAGGCGCTCAGATAGAATTAGATAGCTCACTCGATTCCTGAACATGTGACCACCGAGTAAGAATCTCGAATACCTGAATAGGCTCTGCTGTCGTACTCATCTTCAAACAGAGTGGGGACGCGATGAAATATTCCAATGACCCGAGGATGACTGCTCGCACGATGAAACCGTACGAGCGGTTAATCCCTGTCACAAGAGCGCTTCAGCTTCATGCCAGAAAGTTCTACCGTGGATGCCACACTCATAGCCAAACAAGTGACGCAGAAGTATCGAGAAAGGCGTAGACACTGCTGACTGACCTCCCCCGATTTGGATGTAGCGTTCGACACCTCTCGTGACAACTCCTCCGGAGAGTGCTACGAACACACCCTTCGAAGCACCTGATCTCCCTAGAAATGTACGATGGTTCCGAGGCGGTTATATCCCACTTCGCTCCTCACCATAAGTAAAAGATGGCACGGTTTGTGTCGTGCCGTTCGGACGACTTAATGGTCGGCCTGGTGTGGGTGCCCGTAGTCCCGCCGGGAAAGGCACAGTACGCTGTAGAGAGCAAGGGTTGCAACGTCGCCGTCATCGTCGCAGCCCGCCCTTCGCCGTCTTCTGGTACTATTCGACGTCAACGCCATCGACGTAGCCGCAATGGTTCCCGTCACACCACTCTGTTCCCATCTACCAGTAGTGCCATTGCTGCTAATTCTGTCGCAAGTAAGGAACATCAGGATGAATGGTCGGCAGTTATGGAAGGACCTTGGAGCAGCAGTGCCAGATGGAGCTTGGGATGACTTGGAAGACCGTGGATGAGGATCAAGCAGGGTCGTACCCAGTCCATAGGTTGACTGTGGTTCTATGTTTATGTGTATTTTTCATGTCTGTTCTCATAGTATTGTTCGTAACGTAACATTTATTTTTACACGCATATGATCCCTTTTCCATTCCATACGTTGTTTGCCATAAAACAGTATGATTTATAATGTGTGCTCTTCGCACGTGAAGTGTGGCAATAGGGTGTGGGAGGTTAGTCTCGACTGACATTACTTCGCGCCGAGGTGCGAAGTGACCTCATTAATGACTAACCT